GTTATTAACTTAAAAAACTTAGATTGGACATGTCTAAAAGGAAATTATCACATAAAAAACATTTTTGAAACTTATTTCAACCGTCCATCAAGGTTTCAGAAATTGTCTCTTTATGAGTTTTCAAAATATTACAAACTGCAAAGAAACAACCTCACGTTCCGTACTAAGCCAGCAGTTGTACGCTTTTTTCTACGACATCCATACAATATGGATTCTGTTGGTTTTCTACAGAATTTAACTATACTTTTTTACCCTTGGCAATGTCTTGATGATGTTTCAGTCGTTAACACAGAAATGGAAACATATGTTATGTCTTGTTATAATAATTATGAAAAGCGAGATCTTAAAAGTCATTTATCTAACATTTATGATAGTGAGAGTGAATCTGATGATGATGATGATGATACTGATAATCGTTCAAGAGAACAAAGTCCTAAAAAAGATGAACAAGCCATATTGTCATCATATAACCCGAATTCTGATCATGTTTCTAAGATTGATATAGCTCTCAATAATAGTCCTTTTGTTTGGGACTATTTATCTGAAAAGCTTTCCAAAGATGCTGTTTTTTCAATACAGGAAAAATTACAGAAAGATAACATATCTGAAAAACATGAGCATCTTGATTATAAATTACTGAACAAAGATCAATTAAGAATTTTTAACCACATAAAATTATTAACTCAATGTTTAAAAAGTCAAAAAAGTTTTAAGTCACCCTTTATAATTGTCCAAGGTATGGCAGGGACTGGTAAAACCTTTTTGTTGAAATCCTGTGTGCAGTATATAAAATCTCATCTCAATAATAATGCTGTTAAAGTTATTGCACCAACTGGAGTAGCTGCAAAGATTGTATATGGCTCAACAATTCATTCTTTTTTGTCACTTGGTCGTTACACCTACAAAGTAGAAAGGTTGACAGGTGTTGAACTGATACACTTTAAAGAAAAGCACAATGGTTTAAAATTTATATTCTTGGATGAATATTCAATGGTTGGAATGCGTATGCTAGCTTGTCTTGATTATAGATGCAGAGACTTGACTGGTTGTGAAAGTGTTTTTGGTAATTTAGCTGTTATTTTGTTTGGTGATGCAAACCAATTACTACCAGTTGCTGACCAACCCTTGTATTCTGAAATAACAACTTTATCTTCAAGCAATTCATTACTTCAGCGTGGAACTATGTTAATGAGTCAACTTACCCACGCATACGTATTGAAGCAATGTCATCGCTTTGCCAACCAGGAATATGTTTCATTTTTAAGAAAAGTGTCTACTGGTAGATGTACTGAAAAAGAAAGAATATGTATTAGTCGTAGATTCATCAATGAATTGTCTTCTAATGAGAAAGGAAAGTTTAACAGTTGTATACGCATTTGTTCAACTAATGAAAGTGCCAATGATTTTAACATTCAGAAACTTAAATTGTTAAGAAGACCAATTGCTAATATCAAAGCAGAAAATAACTGTAAAACTGCCTTTTTATCTTCTGATGAATTAGCTGATGGATTAACAAACATAATAACACTAAGCATTGGTGCAAAGGTCATGTTACGTAAAAACCTCAATGTTAATCGGGGCCTTGTTAATGGAGCCATAGGTATTTTGAAGCATTTCCTATACGAAAAAGATCTGAAACCTCCAAATTTACCTGTATGTGTTCTTATCCATTTTGAAAATGTAGATATCAGTGATCTTAACATAAATTATGTACCGATCTGTCCAGTACAATCACAGTGGTATAAAAATGGAACACCTTGCACCCGTTTTCAGCTTCCATTATCCTTATGTTGGGCCTGTACAATACATAAAGCACAGGGACTTAGTTTATTAAAAGCAGTTCTTGATGCTGGTAATTCTGAATTTGCTCTTGGACTGTTATATGTTGCATTGTCTCGTGTTCCGGACTTTGACTCAATCTGTTTGCTTACATCCTTGTCTTTACAAAGATTAAATTCATGTACCACTTCTTCTCGTTTTAAAATGCGTAGAAGGTTTCTGAAAAAATTACAAGTCATGTCAAAGTCAATGAGATCATAATTTTAAGGCATTTCCCAGTTTGTCAATAAAGAATTTCAAGAAAGAAACTTGACTTTGTCTCCTTTATGTCTTCATGTTCTTTTTGTTTTCCGTTTAGCTAATTTATTCCTGTAATTTTTGTTTCAGAGTTTAATCTTGAATTCCAAACCAAATTCACCATGCAATCGTCTTCATTCTTCCAGAGAAGACATAATGACAGCACAAAAAATTAAGAGAAAAATGTACATGCGTCAGTATAGACAAAAATTATCTGAGGAAAGGAAAGAATCCATTCGTATTAAGGATAAGCTTCGTCATAAGGAAAAGAGGTTGTCAACTTCAAATAAAGATGTCAACTAAAAAAATGTGTCAAAAATTTATAGTTTTTTTCATGTAACCTTTATATAATTTGCTTAAAGTTTCAATTTCTTTCTTTCTGCAAAAGCACTGAGTCATGAAGATACAGTGGGGTAAGATAACCTTTTTTTGTATGTAGGTTGTGGAGTCGAACTTCAGGGAACGATTTTCCATTTTAAATATTCGAAATCTATATTGACGTGTGTGCCAAAGCTGGTATGCTAATGTTTATTCGTAGACATGGGTGCAAAAAACTCAGAGATTCTTTCCTATGTTTACAATTGCTGTCATGCTTTTCCTTCCAATACTCAACAGGTATTTATCTTGTTCTTGTTTATGTTTTCTTTCACGAATTATTTTTCGAGATATACTTACAGAAAACGAACTTACTATGTATTTAAAATATTTTCACGTACCATTGGTTATAGTTACTAAAATTAAAAAGATTTCAATGTTTTATTTATTCTCTGGTACACAGTCTTTGATAAGCATATACTCAATATGAAAAGTTTACTTCTCTTTCCTTCCTGTTCATATGGTATTTGGGAGGTTTATTGCAATGTATGAAAAATTTAGTTTGGTAATCTATCAACTGTTCTTTTCATACTGAAAAGCCATTCATTTGTTAGTGTATGTTTTAGTTGTCTGAGTAGTAAATGGAGAATAGTGATTGAAGAATTACTTCATAAATTTGTTTCAGGTGTTTTTCTTGAAACGTTTTAAACAACAAGATAGGTAGCCTCAAGATGAAAGAGGCTGTGGCAACCCTGATCCGGCAGTCCTTTCAGTATATTGTCCTTGACACATGTACCAGTGATCTGTGTTTCGAAGGCACAGATAACTGTGTTTATTTTATCTTTGAGATATTGTACAAGGTTTGTTTCTAAACGAAAATGAGAAAGTGAATTCCTTTCCTAATATTAGTTTTTTATATCAACCTATTTTTACTTCTCTTCATTAAATTTATCTGTTTTCTAGTGACATGGTGTTCATGACACTCCAGGAGTATCCGATTCATGGATGGGATGGGATGCGGCTGATATACTCTGCAATGGTGTCAGTGTGGACTGGGGTGGGATGCGGCTCATGTATCTTGTAATGATGCCTGTGCGTCCTCGATTGAAGGTGCACCAGAATTAGCAACAAAAAATAAAGAAAATTATTATTTTGTCATAGTTGTCTGTCATTTTTACAGTCGTCGAACTTGTCTTGAATGCAGTGGAAAGTTAAGGATAGAAGCCGTTTTGAAATTTGGAATTTGTCGCAATGCTGTATTTTTCTTTTACACATCCAAAGAAGTAGCAATAAGGTAATGATGAAAATCTTTTACTATTTTCACTATTGTAAGAAGTTTTTGGTGTGTTACATACTAAATGTTGTTAGAAAGAATGAGTAGTTTACATGAGTACCCAAATTAAAACTTCTGTATCTTTTTTTTCAATTTATTCGTTTCTGCAAGACCTTATAAACTTGGATTTACATATAAGAGGAATGAAATTTTCAAAATGTCTTGAACGTTCAGAACTGGACATAAATTCAACATCTGAAAAGAAATTATCTTCATAACTTTTCTACATTAAACCCTGTTTTAATGCTGTTTGCAGAAATACAATGAGTGATGCTCATACCTTAATTGTATTTGTAACTGAAAATTTTTTTCAACATGCCAATAATGCGTTCTTAAAGTTAGAACTCAAAAATTCCTTCATCGAAGTCTTCAAAATAGCTGGAAATAAAGAAGCTTCATAAGTTCTAAACATTGAACAATTGGTATCTTAATGTTTTTAGATTAATTTAATGACCTGAAACTTGACTTACTGTGATCCATCAATAATATCTTCTTTAGCAATTTGAGTCATTCTATGATGACACAAACATTCTTCTATCATTTGCATGTTCTTCAAGCAAATGTGGCAACGGACTGGTTTAAATGCAATGTTTTCAAAGAGTTTATGAATATAAACTCGGCTTAGCAATTCCTTGATGATCTCTAAATTTTCTTGTTTGTCTGTACATCCTTCACAAACTTTAACTATTGCATTAGAATGTAATAAGCAGATCTGATATATAATTGTGGAACAAGAATGGAATGCTATGGAGTTAGATTGAAATAAGATACCCATTGTATTTTGTACAATCTAATGATAGACAATATTGGGTGGCACACTTTACATCTCATAAGATACATTACCATAGTAACTGATGTTATTGTTAAAAATTTTAGAAAAACATCAGTATTTGTAGTCACCAATTTCATAATGTAGCATAATTATATTTTTATAAATCAAATTTAATTTTCCTTGTTAGATTTCCAGTTTATGTTTGAAGATGACAGAGAAGTCATTTTTTTAACTTAAGAATCTATAATAGCGGTCTTTTGCATCTATCCCTGTTTCAACACCTATTTGTTTGCTTGCTCTCTATCCTCAGCTTTGTTATCTGCAATTAAAACATTCAAATTTTTGTTACAACTCATCATTTTCGCTTCCTCAATTAATATCAAATGGTATACTTACATCCAAAACCCAAAATCAAAATCCTAATACTGACTACATCCTGACATCTGAACATCCATGACGAACCAGAATTGAAAATATTAGTGACCCTGAACAAGATCTTCAGTTCTTGTGTACACTGTTCAAAGGCATACTCAATGTTTCATTAAAACATGCCTCAAGACAGACAAATCCCGCATTATGAAGTGCAACCATAATTTTTCTAAACCTCTAAGAGAAAAAAGTGAAATTGTCATGAGTCCAAGGAAGTATCTTGAATTTGAACCAGCTTGCAATGATGCTCGTGTAAACAAGTTCAGTGAACCTGTTACTGTGGAATGGTGAGGCAATCATCATTTTACCATGATACTTTGACCTGGATGTTTCGGTCATTACATTGCAAAATATGCTACAAAGCCTGAAGTCCAATCTTACTTGTACTATAATTTATTTCTAAGTGTTGTTGAGAAATGCGGAAATGAAACTACATTGAAATGAGCAGTCCAACGTGTACTCTAATGTCAGCATTAGTTGAAAAAGATTATTCTTTTCAAGAAGTCCATCATTTTTTGTCTGGATATATGCTTTATAGTTGCAGCTGAACATTCCTTACACTAAATTTGAATATAAATGACTGTTAATCTTATAAGACAAAAATCTGTTGAAGATTCTGTCATATTTATTGCCCCTACAGCTGCTGCTGCAGTAAATGCAGGTGAAAGAACCATACACAGTGCATTGAGAATTGTAGTTGGTAAGAAGAAAGATAATTTATATTTATAAAATCTCTATCAACATCTCTATCACCAAATAATTGTCTTCTGGAACGTGGAAGTATTTTAATGAGTCAGCTCATACATGCATATGTTTTAAAGCAATACCATTTATTTTCAAGCGCTGATTATGTCTTCTTTTTTAGAAAAGTTTTCACTGGACGATGTACTGAAAAAGAAAGGAAGATTATGACTTCTCGATTTATCAATGAAATGTTAACTAATGAGAAAGAAAAGTTTAAGAACAGTATAAGAATATGCTCAATCAAGGAAAGTGCTAACGAGTTTAACATTCAAAAGCTCAAAATGTTAAGAAAACCAATTCCTACTATCAAGGCAGATAATAATTCCAAAACTGCATTTTTATCATCAGATGAATAAGCTGATTGCTTAAGTAACATTATATCATTGAGTATTGGATCAAGAGTTATGTTAAGGAAGAACTTAAATGTCAGTAGAGGACTTGTAAATGGGTCAATAGGCATTTTTAAACATTTTCTTTATGAAACTGGTAAAAAAACATCAAATTTACCTGTTTGTTCTTATTCAGTTTGAAAATGTTGATGTCAGTGATCTTAATATAAAATATATACCCATTTGTCCTGTACAATCCCAATTGTATAAAAATGGAACACCTTGAACTTGTTTCCAACTTTCTTTATCTTTGTGCTGGGATTGTACTATTCATAATGCTCAGGGTCTTAGCATATTGTCAGTTGTGCTTGATGCTGGTAATTCTGAATTTTATCTTGGACTCTTATATGTTGCATTATGTCGTGTTGCTGACTTTTAATCGCTACGTCTCTTTACATCATTGTCTCTACAAAGATTAAATTCGTGTACTAGTTCTTCCCGATTTAAGATGAGGAGAAGGTTCCTTAAGAAATTGAAATTCATGTCAAAGTCAATAACCTTATAACCCACTCTTATATGCTGATTGATAATAAAAATATGAAACTATACCTGTATTTTTGCCTCATGTTGTTGTTTGTTTTTATTGTTCATTAGTTTAGCCACAGTTATTTTGCAGCATTTTTTATATAAAGAAGTTGTCAAATCATCAAACAGTCAAAGTCATGACGCCTTAAGAATACAAAATCGTTCTTGTTTCAGTGACTGAAAAAAATATGCAAAGTTAGAAATCAAACCTAAACTTCTCACTTTAGAAAGATTGTCACTGTATTTGCTTTTTGTTGCATCAAATCGCAATGTGACATCTTTTCATATTAAGGAACAGGAAATTGCTTTGTAACACATAGACAATTATTTGACCTCGTACAAGAAATAGAGATTTTTTCCATTACCTTGTTGGTGCCTTTCTTGAATTTTAAAGCGTCCCATGCAGCATTGCAGTTACTTAATCAGTTTCGACTGGTTTTTTAAAAGCCTAAAGCAATGTTTAACTGATAAAGAATTTTTCTTAGGTAGAATTCGGATACATTTAATAGTTCAGCATTATAAATGAAACAACTATGTCTGACCAAGCGGTCAAGCATGTAAATTAAGTACTCAATTTCTTCCTCTTGTTCATGGGTGAGGTTATCAAAACTTAATTTAGAAAAATGATTAAGAAGCGACTCGTGATTTCTCATTGCGTCTATAGTTAAAGTTATAATTTCATTGTTGTATTCAACCATAAGTTGACAGTTTAACAAAAACATAACAAATTGATCAACTCCTTGGTATTCACTGTTCATTTTGGACTCATAAGATTTTAATTGGAAATAAGGAAACAATGAATTTATTATTTGATCGAAAACAAAGGTTTTTGCAAACTCTTCTGTGTACTAATGTTTTTAAATTTTGATTTTATTTTACAAAAATTTAAGATGTCTAGATTTGTTATGATGTTATTCTTAAGCTTTGTTTATTGGTTGCTAAGTGATCCACTTGGGTTTTAACATTTCCCCTACTTTCATATTAACTTTCAGATTGGCACTTTGAGAATGAGAAATACATTGACCACAACAAACAAGTGATGGACCTTTATATTTTATTCACCCACGCTCTGCATGACGAGCATAGGACGGACTCCGGTCGCCGCGCCGGTGACCAGATGCTACGGGACGGACCTCTAAATTATTGTTCGCCGGACGTAAGCGCGCCGGCCGGCAATATTTGGAGCTGGCGGGCCGGGCCTGGACCGGGCACGTCAGCGAGTCTGTAATTAAGTGTATATAAAGCTCCTCGCGGCCAATCATTCACCTTAAGCCAGGCTTGTGCGCGGTCAGGAGCATGGCAAACAGTGCCACTACCCAAGACCCAACCGAGCGGCAGGGAGGCGAGGTGCACGGGTGCAGGTGACGGGGGTGACTGAGCTGGACTGAGCTGCTGACCCGAGTGCGTCTGGCCTTTATATACTTTGGAGTGCCCACCCCCGCTATCAGGGGGGAGGGAGAGGGTAGGCTGGATAGGTGCAGGAATACAGCCAGTTAGCTCTCCTCGTCTGGCCAGTCGGCACGACGGGGCAATTGATAAAGGGTGACAAAGCCGCGAATATGGTTTGCCATAGGGCGGAACATCTGCCTGCCCCGCTAGGTCCAAGGGGACCACCCATAAGGATAACTGAAACTAGTATGCGTAATACTGCATCATATATTTCGTTCCTTACGGTAAGCGTGTGTTTCAGACCGCAGGAATGATAGCGCCGAGGGAAGACCTCAGGCTGTCTCGACAGGGCTTTGGCGATCAGGTTACTCAGGTAGACAAGCTAGCCCACCGTCGTCCGCGGTTGCGGCACCTTTGGGATGCGGTGCTCAGGAAATGTGCTTCGCAAACGTCATGAGCTGGGCCGCAGCGGGGCCGTAGTTCATCGGCGCCACTTCAGCTGCCAACAGCGGCGTTGGTTGCAGACCCCTTCCTGCACCGCGTCTTCCAAGTACCGGATCGTCGGGCCGGCATCTCGTTTTCCTAGTAGCGGATCTTTAGGACAGCCCTGTGTGCCAGGCTGTGTACCGTGTGCCCCGGTGAAAGCAGTAAGATCGGTTGGTAAGCCATACACACTGATGCACTGTTGGCAGCAGGGTGTCTAACAGAGGTTCGCAGGTCCGCACAGGGAGGTGGTCGCGTCAGGCAGCTCCTGCAAGGTGGTCATGGGCCGGTCACATGAGCACGGGAGCCCAGACCCGCAGGGGTCCTGTGTAGGGCTCATCGTGGCGAGCACGAGCCTGTTACAGACAGCTTGTTACAGACAGTCTGTTACAGACTACATGTTACAGACACCCTGATATAGACAGTCTGTTACAGACAGCCAATTACAGACA